AAATAGGAATAGCGAAAGATAAATTACTTGCTAATGTTTCGCATCCTCGTTTCTTCACACGTCGTTGTTCAACAACGTTCGTCTTCCAGTTTCCATTTGAAATTTCTCTTACAAGCAGAGACATCTTACCGTACACCAGCGAATAACTCGTCACGCTACTACGTGCACGATCATTGATCGTGAACAAAATAGACCCAACGTTCGATGCTCTCTCTCTCTCTCTCTCTCTCTCTCATGTCCCACCATTGACACCAAAGGCAAAATAAATTCGACGTACGTACGAATCATCGATCAATATCGTCGAATCTCACGAAGAATGTTGGAAGAACGAAATCTACAACGAAACGTCAAATATCACAGCTTGGTTTTAAAGACGATCCTAATTATCACGAAATATTCTCGTTCCCATTCATAGTTTTCTCGCTCTTTCTTCGTTTCTACAGAGTGTTAGGAAAACGTTTCTTTTCTTCAAAATTACCAATTACCAATTACGTTATCTCTTTGTCGCGAATAAAAAATATCTCGTCAAGCGCGTAAAATACTTTGATTACTTCAAACTAGTTTCAAATATGGCGCCCTTTTCTCTCGGTTAAACGAGGCTGCGCAATGCACGAAACAACTTCACCGCACAAAAGACGCGTTCAAAATATCTCTATACGAACGTGCATGGATCGAATGCTAAACGAACGAAGAAACGTTATCAATTATCGATTACAACAAAAAGAGAGAACAACAACACGTATAAACGCGCAACTTTGTCGAAAGAAATCATACGTTACCACGTTCTCTGGTCAGGTAGAAACCTGTCGGATTCATTACCCGATCGTCGCGGCATTCTTTCGAATTTAACAGCCAAACAGTCTCAAACAGTTTTCCGTGCAATCAACCAACAATCTGCAACCAATTATACAAAAACCAAACAACCACCGACCAAACCGATCAAACAGTTGAAAGCTCGTACTGTAAACTCTGACGATGCACGTAGAAAGGCTAACACGAGAAAGGCTATATTCGACGAATTCGAACGAATAAAATGCACGTTAATCGAACAAATTTAACAACAGCCACAGACAAAAGTACGCGGTTGAGAAATTTCGTAGAAAACGATACACGCGAACGCCGCGACGCTCGACGATAGACTGACCTGCCGCGCAACATACAGTTCGCGTTGCATACTAATTTGGCGGGGTAGGAATTTGGGCGTACACACCGAATAGGACTCGGTTCATTTGTGAAACTGTCCTACCGGGACATGTTCGTTCTACGCGACGAGCATATCGTACACGTGTTCGAGCACTCGTAGAAATCTATCGTAAATCCGCCAATGTGTTACGCGCGTTGTACGAAACATTTTCAGATTTCTCGTACGTCAGCAACGTACGAAACAGCCCACACAGCCCCCACTATCAACGTTCGAGCGTTTATTTTCAATCAAGTCTGAAAATGAATATACAAGTTACAAGTATACTCAAAATTATACGCTTTGTACATACGTTTTTAGATTTCAAATTAGGTTTCAAACTTGATCGATACACTAATCGATTACAATAGTCGTGGCTCGTTATCACACAGTATCGTACCAGTATCGTACAACATTCGTCTCCGATCAGCAATCGAATCATCAAATACATTCGAGCAACAACGTTCGCAAATTTATCGGACGAGATTTCTGATCCTTAAAAACTGGAAGCAGTGCTCGGACGATGCCTTTGTATCGCGAATGTTGTCAAGATTCTCGACATGGTCGTAAAAAATGATCGACGCGCGACATTGTCGATATTCATCGCCCGAGAATTTCTCACTCACCGGAACGCGATTGAAAATCGTTTTCAAATATCGACAACGTACAACGTACGCGTATTCGTCGGCTAAATGCTCCATACCGCGTGCTTCTACGTTTACATCACACGGAGCGACACGCAGCAGAGATCGTAGATCGATCCCGAGAAATTAAATTATATCCATTGCAACAATTTAACTGTCAAACGAGACTGATTCGATCCAATATTCCGTAGTTACACTGGCGCTGCAATCTTTATCTAATTTAAATCATCGCGCGCACATCATCAAACCGAGATCTTCATCGCACTTGCATCGTTCAATTTAACGAAACAAAACCTAACCTAAACCCTTCCCTTCGATTCTCGTTTGTCAAACGTGCGTCAACGAGCAATCGACTCGACAATCGTTTCTTCAATTTTAATCGAATTTTAATTTGAACAAGCACGTTTCAATTTTCAATCTTAATCGTCAAGTTTCGTCAGTTTATCGAATTTAATCTCGACAGAGCGTAACAAAGGAATTCGTCTCTTCGCGTTTAAACGATTCTACCTTTCAAAATAATTCTCCAATTTGTTCATTTTATTCGTGAAATTTTTTCATTCAACTTTATCTCGCAACACGTCGTTCCTGAGAAAAATATGCATCGTCTTATCGTTATTATCACGTTACGACAACCGCGCAAACGTGTCGCGAAATCAAAATTACCAACAACAACGCAACAGCGTAACAAGAAAAACGCTACCGTCGCTTCGTCGTCTTTAACTTTACCGCCTTCGTCGAGTCGACGCGAAATGAATTCTCACGTTTGCCGTAGCAAATCACAGAGGGCGCGAACAACAACATTTTCGTCGTCTTCTCAAGATCGGTGTCTACTCCGTTGCTAGTCAATGACCGTTGATCTCCCACCACGGAGAATCGACACAGCGAGAATTCGATCGAAAAGTAAGGTACAAACGTCGTTCGTTCTCACCAAACAAGAACAGAAAAAAATATGGAATTATTCGTGTGCAACAACTGCTTCGCCACACCGCACAGAGGAAAGAAGCCATTTTGTTTGACTCAGTGTGGTCACATATACTGCAACGGATGCATACGACAAGGCAATAACAAACATAGACAAACATTACTCGCGCCACTGCTCGTGTCCGAAACACACACGGACACGTAGAAATAAATCCTTTTTCTCTCTTGCATAATTTAGCCGAGAAACAATGCCCGCAATGTCAACAGATCGATATCTTTTCCGTGGAATTGCAACAACCCTCGCTGTCCAAAGTAGAAAATTTCTTCGTTCCGTTGAACGAATCGTTGGAATCGTTACAAAAGACATCTGGTTTTCAAAACAATCAGATAAAAATTACGCTAGAACGCTTTCACGAAATCGTGCGTGTTTCTCTCCTTTATCTTTCTTTCCTTTCCTCCTCGAATTTCGTTCCTCTCTAATCTTCCGTTAAACACCGAAAACTAAAAGCGACGCGAATTAAATTTTCAAGGATAAAAAGTACGAAACGTTGAAGTCCCATTATTACAATCTGACGCGGAACATGAAAGTAATCAAGGACAAGTACCTCAAGCTGAAAATGGAGAACATCGAACAAAGGAAGAGACTGACGTCTTTCGAGATTCAACATTCGAGATTCAAGGCTTTAAACTCTTTCAGCGATACGTCCACGCCAAAGTCCAGCAACCAGAAAACTTTCAGAACGAGGTACACAAGTAAAAATTTTAAATTCCAAAGCCTCGTTCTCGAGGTTACGATATTTAAACGTTATCCCTTATATCTCTCATATTCGCAGACCCACGTCAAATTCGTACGTTTCGTCGCGTGGAACAAACGTATCGAGCAGCAAATCGTTCAACGCGACAAAGGGAAAGGCGACGCTCGACAGTTTTCGTATTCCTTTCGACCCTCGCGCGATGCGATCCATTGATTCTCGCGCAACCTCAACCGCCAATTCCACTTATCTTTGAATCTTCTCGACGAGATCGTTCAACGTCAACTATCTTCAATTTATTCATCCACTCTCCCAATGAAAACAACCGTTTCGTTTTTATAAATTGTAAATTTGTTTTCTCAAATCGTTAAAAATAAACAACGACATCTGTACGACGTAACATTTCTTCTCATCGTACCTCGAACAAAGTTCCAAATCACACGATACGCGCCAAAGATGCCAGTGAGACGCGAAATCAGAGAGTAAACAGATCGTACGACATTT